TCTTTCCCTCTGTTAGAGGCTGGAGCTTCACTAGAGTTTCTACCGTTACTTTTACATCTTTTGTCTGTTGTTTTTATAGAGGTTGTAGGAATCAATTTCTCATATTTCCAGGCTGCATCCATGCAGACACCAAATCACTGCTTATCCATTCCCCAGTGAGAGGGGGATAAATTAAATTCCTACCCTTGAAGACCAAGAGACAAGACACAGGAGCTTTTCAGTAGACTCAAAAACACAATTAGGTTACAGGATTATTACCACTTGCTCAATATCTGTCCATCTCCTTTAAGGAGGAGGATATATCTTTTATCTCTAGAGTCTCTGGCCTAAGAAGTGTGAGGAATTACAAGAAAGGCATCGGCTCGTGGGATGATCAAAATGTCATTCCTTAGTAAGTAGGCTTATTGCTCTGAAGCATCAGATGGTCCTTGTTTAGCAGTTGGTTTCCGTTCAGAGCTGAACTGTTGCTCAGAAGGAGCTGGTGTCTCCCTAGCATTCCCTCATGTCCCCAACAAAGATGTCACCTCAAGAGACTGCCATGTCCTCTACTTACAGGAAGGAAAAAAGTGCAAGTGAATCTTTGCTCCTTATCATCTTAGTGGTGTCATGAACGAGACAACAATTTATAACAACATCTACAAAACCTTGTAAGAATTAGTAGTGGCTACTCTACAGATCTCTATAACGAGCTCGACAAATCTCTAAGAAGGTTTCCCAAATATTTGTTCTGAGCTTGACTGATATTCTGTAGGATCTGTGCTAGCTCATACAGCAAGGCCGATGAATGATGCCATATTGCTTCCAGCTCAAGTGTTTTGGCAAGTGTTGCCTTAATGTGCTCCCATTTCTCAGTATAATGACAGATGCTACCAAGTATTAGCAGGTGGTTTGGATTTTCCTTTTTACTCACCCTCCACTGACTCCCCTTTTTGCTGCTGTGGTTCTGGCACATTTTAAACAGTCTCACTCTGCTCCTTTTGGCAAGGGCTTTAAACATTTGGTTGTAGAGAGGAAAAATTACTTTTCTTTTTTTTTCCTTTTTTGGGGGGAGGGTGGTGCAAGCCTTCAGATAAGAATAGCGTATTACAAGGTTCTACTATTCCAGATCTAATATCTGATATTTGATGGATTTCATACTTTGGAAGATAAAGATGATAAATTCTCTTTGGTATTTAAATTTTTCTTTCAAGTTTCTGGAGGCTAGGTGTTAGGATGATGTTGTATCTTTCCTTCCAAAGAAGATTGTTTTGGCCAATCAGCTCTGAATGCAAGCAGCCGCTGAAGATTTCCCATCTGAGGGAGACATCTCTGAGCTAACACTGGTGAAGAACTTCAGTCTTTTAAAGGCTCTGTGCCCATGCTGACAGAACCAGGAAGCTTCACAATAGCATCTTTAAAGAAGCCAGTTTACAGATCTTAAATGCTGGTTTCCCTATTTACAACTTTGGTTCCTCTCTCTGAATCTCTTAACTCATTATTCCCTAAAACTCATGTCTGCACACATTTCTTTATTCCCAACTCACAGTTGTCACTGCAGTACCTTCAAAGGTGTAATAAGAGGCGAGTCCTTTCTTCTAAATCTATTTCTTCTGTATCCTATTTCTCTGGATTCAGGCTGTTGAGAGTTCGCTGAACCTCTACCTTTCTAAACAGTCTGCTGTTGAACACCATGCTTACAGCAATCGCTCTGCGTAACCTATCCCTCAACCCTCCTTCCTCAGCTCTTTTCAAGAGCCCTTTCCTGGAGACTTGGCTTTATCAGGAGAAAGCCATTCATTTAGCTGTACTGTTCATAGAATCTTTTGTCTTGGATTAGAGGTTCCATATTTTACAGGACTAGTCCTAATAGCAGCTGTGGAGGATAGAGACATCCCTTTGACTTTAGACAGTTAAACATCTTTAATCACCAATACAATTAGGATGGTAACATTAGCGGTGATAATACCTTCACTTCAGCAGGGGGTTCATGTCTCTTCAAGACGCTCATTTCCATAATGGGATTTGACTATCTTGCAGAAAGTACCTGCTTTTCATCATGGGCCAGAGCCGCTACCTGTACCAGCTTCCTTTTCTGGAAAGTCTGTGCTCTTCATAGACTATGGATATTTGTGTTTCTGACAGTAAATGAGTAGTACAGATAGTTTTTTATCCTTACCTAACAGTTGGCCAATGAGTATCTCCCTCTAAAACTACGTCGGGTTCTTTATGGGTAACATCTCCCTTTTTTCTTTGTTTGTTTTGGGGCTCACAGTGAATATGTGTACACTGTCTTCTCTGCAGTTATTTTCAAGCACCCGAAGGCTCAACAGACTACTCTAGTGGAAAGTATGTCTGTCCAAGCTGGACTTAGATAGTGCTGATTAGTTATGACCGGACTCCTGTAAACGGGAAATCTGGGAGGCCATTGTAAAGATTATTTTCAATGAGACTGGGGATTTCCCATGGTTAACTTTTTTGCTGTAAAAATGAGTAGAAACAGTTTTCCCTTCCAGCGCTTGTCTGGCCTGGAGATCTTTATTCCTTATTTCTCTGTCAGCTGTGTGGTGTGCACCTTCTGTCCAGTCCTGCTGCTTCTCAGGATATCCGGAAAGATATGGCAGGATGGTGCCTGACTGATGTGGTCAAAGTCATTCTGATCCAAAGACCTACGTTTTCTGTCAGTAAAGGAACCCAATATTTTACATTACGTCTTTGAACCATACTGCCAGAATTCATATCAGTACTCACCTGGCCCTCTGTTTCCTATATGTCACAGCTTGGAGAAGTTCTTGGGAACAGAGCACATTTATTCCTTCCTTGTGTGAGATGGTCTTATTAGCATTGGGAAAAGGTAGAGAGCCAAGTGGATCAGATTTTTAAAAAAACTGCAGATCTCTGTTATCCAGCGAAGTTTCACTACTTTTTATTTTGAAATTTTGAAATGGGAGCCAATAAAAGATTATCTGGTAGTATTTTAATCCTTGCACCTTTGGGGGAACATTTATATTTTTTTCTTGCCTTTACTACTTTTAGACTAACAGGACTAGTACTCTGTAAGTATGCTCTGCTTCTTCCCCTCCCCTTTTTTCTCATTGAGGCCTTAATCTTATTTTGGTATCTCCTGGGAAAGTCTTCTGACTGGCCACCTTCTTACTCTTGCACCTTCAAAGGCGATTATTTTTTCTTCTGGAAAGGTTGCAGAAATTGAGGATCAAATGTGAGAAAGCGCCACCTTCCTTGAACTTTTCCTGCGGTGAGGCACCCTGCAAATCTGTTTCACATTTCTTCCGAACGTTATCCCTGAGTTTTGTTTAAGTTGGCACGTTAGGAAAACATGTTGAAAAAAGCTCTGTTTCGGGAAAGTAACTTTCCTGTGCAGCTAAGAGGAAAAAGACATTTTTCATTTCATAACCATTTTTCGTGGTTTCAAGGAAAGGGATCTATTTCATAGATAAGGATCCATTTAAAATGCATTTAATGAATCTGCTATCCCTTAATTCTTGATTTTATACACGCGCACACACACACACACACACACACACACACGCACGCACGCATATCTGCACACACATATATGAATGTATATAATTTATTTTCTCTTTGGAGAATCCACAAACTATGTTGTTGTAACTATACATACACAACATTTATACTGATATAAACGTATATTGATCATCTTTCTAGTCATTTGTGTTCTTCTCTTATACCATTATCTCTTTCTGTTTGTTGTCTTCTGTATTTCAGGACTTTAAAAATAAATACTAGTAAGGGCAATCTTCATCTGTATGTTTGTTACCTATCAGCTAGCAACAGGGAGTTGCATGTTGCTGCACTGGGCTGTGAAGTCATGTTGCGTGTATGCATGAGTTTCATCCATAGGCACACAGTATTCTTTCGATGTGTATTGTGTCCAGGGTCATCTTTTTTGTGGATTTGCTTTGAATTCTTTATTCAAACTTTATGCTGCACCTGTGCGTAGTCCTTTCTTAAAATAAAATAAAAACGCAAACAAAGCAGTGTTTGCTCACATGGCCATTTACCAGTGGCAACATATTTTATTTCCAAGAGCAGAAATAAGAATCTATTTAAACACATAGCAGGAACCTT